GAATCACTAAATTCTACTCCTGAAACCATTATTACACTATATGTTAACTAACTTGGATTTAAATACAATTTTTAAAAATGTAAAAAAAAAAAAACAAAACTGTAATGATTAAAATCATAAGGCATTGCAGTCACAGTCCTCGGGTTCAAATCCTGGCTCTGACACTAACTGGGTGACTTTGGGCAAGTTATCTGATCTCTCTAAGCCGAGCTTCCTCTATCAAATGAGGGAAAATAGGGGCGCCTGGGTGGCTCAGTCGGTTGAGCGTCCGACTTCAGCCAGGTCACGATCTCGCGGTCCGTGAGTTCGAGCCCCGCGTCGGCCTCTGTGCTGATGGCTCAGAGCCTGGAGCCTGTTTCCGATTCTGTGTCTCCCTCTCTCTCTGCCCCTCCCCCGTTCATGCTCTGTCTCTCTCTGTCTCAAAAATAAATAAATGTTAAAAAAATTAAAAAAAAAAAAAACAAATGAGGGAAAATAGTTGTCCCTTAAAGCTTTATGGAAATTAATTAAGATCATTCATGTTTGGAGCTTACACGGTGTCTGATATCCATTATATGTTTAATAAATGGCGATTAGGATTCAAAAAATAAATAAATGTTACTTTTTCAAGTTCTTTCTCCCTTCCTCCTTCTTTTCTACTTCCTCCCCCCCCCCCCCTTCTTCTTCTTCTTTTTAAAAGAGGTTTAGGGTCAGGTGTCAGGAGGCCTGGGACGAGGCCCTGGCTCTCTTCCAACCTTGGAGTGAGACATTGGGGGAAGGGCCTCTTCCTTGGGGGGGGTCTCAGTTTCTCCCTCTGTGAAATGGGCAGGTTTGATTGGAGCTGGAGAATCTCTTCCGAGTGCCAGGGTCATGCCGTCCTGTGGAGCCTTAGCAGGGAGGGATGAAGGGTGAGATGGTGGCCTCGGCGGTGATGGGAGGGGAGGCTGTGGCAGGAGGCTGAGTCAGAGGCACTGTCAGGGCTGAGAGCAAGGGAACAGACCTGCCTCTAGTGCCCAGTGACTTGCAAGCCACAGGAGGGGAGCAGCCTGTGTCATCAGTGAGCCTGTAAACACCCTCCAAGGACAGCAAGGCCCCTGCTTGTCTTGGATCTGACCACAGGCCCATCCCAGGGATTTGGGGTCAGAGCGCTTAATAAATCATCCTGCCCAGCACATGCAAGCCTGGAGCCCTCCTCCTGGCTTTCTGAGATCTGACCTCTGCCGACCTCTCCCACCCACCTCCCTCTTGCCAGGCCAGAGACCGGTGAATTTCTCGAACACGCAATTCTCTTCCTGCCTCTCCAGGACTGTGCACAGGCTGTTCCCTCCACCTGGAATGTTCTCTCCCTTTCTCCAGGCTTCACCAAGATAATGCTTCCGGCTGGTTCAAATTTTGGCTCAAAGATCACCTCCTTCTCTGTTCTTCCAGCAAAGGTAGGCCCTCCTGTGGTCCTGTTCATCTTTCCCTCAAAGCGCTCAGTGCCGTCTGTGGGCTGGATCTGACGTGCTCTGTTGCTGGATCTGTCTGCCCTTCTCCTGAGAGCGGAGACTGGGAGGGCCATTTCGGCCACCACAGCCCGTTCACTGAATGACTGAATGACCGAATGATAAGCTCTCGGAAGGGTTCCAGGTAAATGTCACAGGCCTCGGGAGCTCAGCTTCCTCTCAAAGGGATATCGTATCAGGTCTCCTTTCTCAGCCTCAGCCCTCCAGTGTCTCCCCACTGTTGTCGGAAAAAAAGTCCCAGATGCCACGCTGGGCCTCACAGCTCCCCCGGGGTCCAGCCCCGCTGAGCTCCTCTGCTCCAGGCCATACCCACACCCCCACCCTAGCTCCACTGGCCTCCTGTTTCTTCACCACACCAGGCTTGTTCCTGCCTCAGGGCACACACTTTCTGTTCCGGGTGCCTGGAATGCTCTCCCCCAGGCCTTCCTGTCCTTCAGGTCCCAGCCCTGTGGCCTGGGACAGACCCTTCCCATACCCGTTCTCCCTCAGCTTGCCCTGCTGTGTTCCTTCACGGCATGTATCGCTGTCTAAAATTATCTCGTTTATTTACAAATGTTTGATCAACCTTGAGCTGTAATTCATGGCCATGCAGAACACAGACAGCTTTCCCCAGCTTCCCTAGAAGCTAGGGGCAGCCATATACTTGAGTTCCAGTCAATGGGTCGTAATAGGAGTGTGCTTGGCAGTTTCTGGAATCCTTCCTAGAGATTTAGCTGTGGCCCACCCTTTGCTCATCATCTTTCCTTCTCCATCCTGTCACCTGGAAGGCAGACGAGAAGGCTGGCGCTGTGGCCTCCACCTTGGATCATGAGGAGGGTCACACCCTAAGGATGGCAGAGTTGTGACCAGGAAGGAGCCTGGGACACTGAGAGCTTTGTGGAGTCTTCAAACCAGCCCTGAACTGCCTACATCTGGACTTCATTCACACGAGAGAAAAATAAACTCTTTTGTGTATTGTTTATTTTTAAAATTCAATTTATTATATGTTATTTTGACTATATTTGTATGTCCTAGCAGTATGCTCTACTGCAAAATGTCAGCTAGAGTACACGCGTCTTTTTATCTTAAAATGTGCTCGATATGTCTTTATCTACTTTGTCCAGAGGGTTGTTTTTTTTTTTAATTTTTTTTTCAACGTTTTTTATTTATTTTTGGGACAGAGAGAAACAGAGCATGAACGGGGGAGGGGCAGAGAGAGAGGGAGACACAGCATCGGAAACAGGCTCCAGGCTCCGAGCCATCAGCCCAGAGCCCGACGCGGGGCTCGAACTCACGGACCGCGAGATCGTGACCTGGCTGAAGTCGGACGCTTAACCGACTGCGCCACCCAGACG